CAAGCTTCTTGCAAGGCATTAGAAATAAAGCTGTAATACAAACAAATGGCTTTTCATTGATAAAAGCAGTCAACAAGGAAACAACAACTACATTGTGGAAGTACTAATCATTGGAATATTTACCTGGTATCAGGTCTGGTCTGAAGAAAGCAGTGATCAATGCAAACACTGGTAGGTTATTCATCATATTGATAACTCTACTGACAACCCCCTTCACAAACAAAACAATCAGTCGCAAGGTTGTAAACACAACATAGTACATGGCTGTTGTCGGCAAAAGAAAGAGGAGAATAGTTAAACACAGAGTCCCTAAAAACAGTCTGTCCACCCTGTATGGAACAATGTCCTCTTGATTCTTTTCAACATTCCATTTTCTACCTGATGGACATGAGAGAAAAAGTAAAACTTTCAGTATGTCACAACTTAGACAATCAGTAAAGACTTAGAGCCAACATTCTTAAATGGTTTGGATATATCAACAAAGTTGAAATGGTAAATTGGCCACTGTAACGATTACAAAAGCTGACGTTTCGAGCGCTAGCCCTTCGTCGGAGCGAAACTATCAGCCTTTATTCTTAAATGGTCTTTTCTTCTAACAGCTCCCCTCTAGGGCTTTGATTAGCACTGCTCAAGTAAGCTGTCTGGGCAAGAATTATAGTGATTTATACCTCTATCTTGTAGCTCAAATAATTTCAGACTTTTTTTTCTGCTTTTCCCTATACTCTAGAAATATCAAATGTGTCTAGAACAAAGTAGAAAACACATAAAACCATTTGAATCTGACTGTAGTTGGAAAATATCTCTCCCTCCCCCCTGAAAAAAATTCTGAAGCCAAATTAACTTGATTTCCCGTCCTCCACAGAAAAGACACCTATCCATATCTACTTTGATACAGAAAATCTTTAATCTAGGCATTCAAGAATCCTTCTGTACCTTATAGGTGGGGAGAGTTGGAATGGTGTATATCTGATATATTAAACAAACAGTCTCAAACCTGTAAATAGTTTGGCCATAAGCAACAACTTCTGTAGCTGGAAGTTATACAGCCTTGCAGCATACACATAAAAGCAGTAGATATGGAGTGTTATCAATGAAATGACATCTGATGCCAAAGACAACAAGAATGTTGCTCCAAAACAACCTGACATAATGATAAAACTGATGATAATCTGAAGATATGGTTCAATATAGCTCAGGTAAATCTGCCATAGATACAGGTGATAAAGAAAGAAAATGCTCAAGTATTCTGCTAGCTTTTGGTTTATCTTAAGCCCAGCAGGAGCTCCTTGAAGCCAGTCTAGTAGAGAGCTAATCCACTGAACAACAGCTTCAGTCTTTTCCATCATTAAGTCAGTAGAGCATGTGTTATAACCACTGGAAAAGAGCCATGACACAATGAACAGTCCCAATACAACATCAATCACAATTGCACAGAGTAAACTGCCAAAAAAGACCAATGGGAAGACATTACTTTTTGAACTTGCATCAGTCTTAATGGGTGAATTACTTGACTCTGTTGAGTGACCATCATAATCTGGTTTGTCCTTTAGGACTGCAGCCTTACCTAAACACATTACCAGAGCTTTCACTTGCCTGACACGTGTATACAGCTGTAGAAACACAGCAGATAATCCTGAAAATAATTTGATTACATCTACCAGGACTGGGTGTTGTTCCTGCTGCCTTTGATAAAACAAGGCATACAACATTCGAACACCTTTCATGCCCAAGTTGGACAAACACCTCCAACTCCTGCCCATTGGTTTTTCATGAGTTTCTGTTTGAGTTTCAAACAATTTATAAATGCTCTCTTCGGCTTTGTGGGAGCTATTCAGAAGTTCAACAACGTTAGATAACTCTGTGGGACATGTTTGCTGCAGCAACGCTTCTGACTTCTTCCAAAATTTAATGCCATCTGGAACTGTTGGTACGGTGGTCAAAAATGCATTTCCAGTAGGTTGTTTCTAAAATATTACCACAGATCCATTCGCTATCAACGAGTTTCCGACATGGTACAAATGAAAAGTGTCGGTGAACCTTACCAAACGTAGAATGAACAGTCTGTCAGTTAACGACCTAGACAGGGTTTTTAACACTGTAAATACTTGACCGACAGATTTCTCATCGTTTTCATTTAGCCAAACTCCCACAAGGGACAACGCACATTCGTCGAAAACTCGTTCACAAAAACTGTCAAAGATTTCGCGTGGATGGATGACTGTGGCAGCGACAAATGTACTTGTTTGTTTACTCTTCCACCCGAAGATGAAGCCACTCTTTACTTTTAGGCAACGAAGAGGGAAATACACCTTCATAGCTTTTAATATTCTCGTGCAAAGGAAGCCGCCATTTTTCGGTCAGAGAGGGCACTGGAGCAAACGTCGTCTTCGTCACGCGTGATAATCGCGCGTGGCCTTGGACCTTTGGGGTGTGTTGGGGGGAGGTGTCTATATTGAGCTCTGAATCTTTTACAGGATAATCTACTTTTTCAAGTAGAGGGCCCTTTTTTTTCTCCTTTTAGAGAATCAGCATGTTTGTCCATTTAAGTAATTTTGAGGAGATCAATGCTTATCTTGAGCTGCAGATGCCATGATGATTGTGCAACGAAGCAGCTTGTTGTTCAGAGTATTGCGTCACTTTGTGCCCCGGGCTTCTCTCTCTTCTTCCAAGATGGCGAACGAAGCCGAACAGAAGAATCTCAAACCTTTCCCGCATTTCGGAACTTTGGCTATCCATGCTGGCCAAGAACCAGAACAGTGGAATTCGAGGGCAGTCGTGCCGCCGATTTCGATGGCTACAACATTTAAACAGGATGATCCAGGAGTTCATCGTGTAAGTTTCTCGTATCCCAGCAAAAGCAATTATGTGAAAAATGTACAACGATCAACTCTGCTGTACCCCTGATATTTCTGCTTTTTCCAGGGATTCGAATACTCGCGATCGGGGAACCCTACAAGGAACTGCTTCGAAGCTTGTGTGGCGGCTTTGGAGGGCGCAAAACATGGTGAGGAAATATCGTCTTTCTTCTCCACGTGAATTCACGTGGGAATAACAAATGCATGACGTCTTTGTTTTGGTTTATTCACAAGAACATCACGATTGGTCCAGATCATAAGTTTTGACGATAACAGTAATACTTTATAGAAAGAATTATTTCTTAAAACTGGTTTTCAAAGTACCCGGGAATTACCTCGCATGGAATAATGTACAAATATTTTTCTTACCCCAGGCTTTGTTAGATTTCTTTCATAATTAATCCTGGGGTAAGGAAGAGTTTGATGTGCTAAACTTCAGAATACCCGGCCACATCATTTACATGTCCTTGAATAAGAATAGCGTCTATTGTATTATACCTCGTTCTTCAAAGCCTCCCGACATATGTAAATGGCTACATATTACATATATACGGGCTACATATATACGGGTATTCTTAAGTTGCTCCGTTTGATGACAATCCTAATTGTTTTCATAAAAATTCTAATAAATGTCCCTTGTCACCTTGGTTTTACCAAGCTCCTCAGACTGTAGTGTATTGACTGCACGCTAGAATATTATTTCACGAAGGGGTTTATTATTTTGTTGAACTCCAAGTTTTTACAACCGTGCCGAGCTCTTATCTCTCTCACTTACTCACTCGGAAAGTTACATGATTGACAGGTAACAAAACGACAACCGGAAGTGGTCACTACACAGACCTCTCTTCTTAATGAACATGTCCGATTTTCATTTTGGGATTTAATAGTCCTGCCATGCCAAGCTTTGGTATCCCCTCCCGTCCCCACCCATCCCCACCTGGGGTCTCCCCCGACCATCCTAGGAGTGGGAAACAAGACATTTCAGAATAAGCGTTCGGTAATTCTACCCCAAGAATAAATGGTGTGGCTGATTCAGACCCAAAGGAGCACAGAGAAGAAAAATGAATTACGAGAACTGACTAAGAAGTAGGCATTAAAAAAATTGGTAAAAATATGAGTTGATATAAATAATTATAAATGGTGTGGCTGCTCTTTTGTTTACTCTATTATGCCTTTTGTAACAAAATTAGAGATACTAAAAGATACAGCTAGATTGTACCTGATAAGGCAGGAGATCTAAAAGGCTCTATTGAGCTTTTAGAAAGATCCTTGAGACAGTATTTTTGTATTTTTGTGATATATCACCAGGCTTGGCTACTTCCTCTGGTCTGTCAGCCACTATGTTATTGACTCACTTACTGAAGAGTGGTGAACATATCGTTTGCGTGGATGACGTTTATGGAGGTACAAAGTGACTGTTTAATGTTTATATAATAATATTCATTAAAAAAATGGATCATTGGATAATGCAATTCAAGACTTTTAATTGGCTTAGCCATTATGGTATATGAGCCAATATACCATAATCTAATATCTGTACATTGTAACATCCGGTTTCTTCTTACAAAATGAAGTCGGGAAGATTTGTCTGATATCTTGGAGGCATTTTTTATTAATNAATTCATGAGTTTGATTGGCTGAAATCAATATTGAAAGTGGTCTAGATTTTCCCATCTAGACCGGTCTAGAAAAAAGGTACAAAGAATATAAAAAATTGGCATATAAGACACAGCCACATAATAAACATCTTATTAACCGAGCTAGGTCGGTCTGTATGGGAGAATCTTGACCTTAACCTTGGTCGCTGGTACAGACCTCACTGCGTTCAGTCTGTACCGGCGACCTCAGTCAAGGTCAAAATTCTCCCATACAGACCTCCTGCTCGGTTAATAAGAACTAAATAATTCTTGGGTAGCTTTAAACAAAATCTTGAGATTTGGCAATGTGGAGCTGATTAATCATTAGCTGTTGACAAGGGAAAATCATTTTTGGTGAGACACTGTCAAATCATGATATTATGTGATTACAAAGCTCAACAATTGTTTTACTATGATGATGATTGTAAAACTGTTTTCTAGAATCTCTGTAAGTTGTATTGTTAGCAAGACAGTTAATCTGTGCTAATCCTTTGACACCTAGGGGTGACTGGCATCTAATTTCTCCTTACAATATCCCCCTTCAATTACACATTAAGGTCATGAGAATAAAGAAAATGATCACCAACTAAAGAAGCTCTTGAATGTTAAACAAATTCTCCTCGTCAGCACTTTAGGAAATGTATAGAGAACAGTATGGAGAATATGCACATACTAATGTTAGGGTATAGAGGGTAAAGCATGGGCAAACCATTATACCAAAAAGGGAGAAAGAAAGTAATCCATTAAATGATTATATAAAATGCCTAAAATTATAGTAAGCACCAAGTGTGTGGTCAGAATAAGCAACATTAACATCACATCAACATCATATTCTTGGGAAAAGAGAAGTTTATAGAAGCAAACCACATATTCCTGTCCAAAAACAAGTGCTGAAAACCACCAAATGCTTATTCTGACTTCAAGATCTAGTGTGGACCTAACTTCTGTGATACACAGCTTTTTAAAGCAAAATATTTTAACTAATTGTTTTTTCATACTGACAGGTACCAATAGGTACTTCTCGAAAGTGGCTGCTGCAAAAATGGGAATAGAAATATCAATGGTGGATGCAAGTGATTTGAGTAAACTGAAAGCTGCCATTAAACCTATAACTAAGGTTGACAAAATTACGACTTTTTTTTAAAACAAATTATATTACACATTGTCAAAGAATATTTACATTTAGTTAAACAGCGCAGAAGTCTTGTGCATCCAAATGAATGCAATCTGACTTTGAGTAATCCTGAAAACAATTATTTACCTAAAAAATAATTTTTTTTAGTGCAAGCAGTTTATTAAGCTAAGAAGAAGAAATGAGATAACTTCACCTTTAAGTGTGTTATCTAGCAATTTGAGACCTAAATTAAGCAGTGATACTATGGGGACAATAATGGTGCTAAAGAAAAAGGGGATGGAGAAATCTCCTTTTCACTTAATCTTTGAATTAAATTTTTGCACAAGTTTTTGGAGGAGCTAAATCAAGGTACTACACCCTCCCAAGGTGCTAAAAATGAATACTTTAATTTATAAATTTTGATGAGAAAATTAAATTAGATTTTATTGCCTTTAATTCAATTTAGATGGTATGGATTGAGACTCCAACTAACCCTCTACTGAAACTTGTGGACATCCAAGGAGCTGCTAAAGTTGTTCATCAACATGAGGTACAATTTTGTCAGGAAGCCATGAGAGGTTGCTGCCAGCCATTTTAGGACTAAGCTGCAGCAACAATTTGTTTTAGTGTGGTAAGAATAAAGTTTCTGACAATCTTTGCACTTGCAAAGTACTTTTCTTTTTATTCATTCCCCCAACTAGTCAAATAAATAAAAATCTGTGTGAATGGATGCAATGATCCCACACACACAAAAAAAAGAGTCACAAGGACTTGTTATGGAAGTGGATAACTGCATGCAGAAACCTCCTCCAGTTACTTCTTGCTTAAAATTAGATTTTCTCTGGCCATATTATTTGTACACAAGAAATTAGGTTATCTGTGCCTTACCTACCTATCCATATACTGGATACTAACATTTCTCAATCTAACATAATTCTTTATTTGACAGGGAGTTATTTTAGTGGTGGACAATACATTCATGTCATCATATTTTCAGGTATTTGAGTGTTACCTTACTTCTACTAGAAAATTAGCAGTACCCTTGCGTTAGGTTGAATGGGTGTCTTTTCATGGGGATTTGAAAAGGCAGGAAGAGCACAGGGGTAGTGAGTGAGTGAAGAGTTTGTTGAGGGCGGGACTGTAATGATCAAGTGCAGTGAAAAAAATAACAAATTAAATATTAACCAAAAGCATTTCAAATATGATCACTGGATATATATTTATCTCTATACCACTTGTTACTGCCAAAAGGCGAGTCCTTTCGTAGCTGCTTACAGCAGTGATTACAAAGGCTGCATGGGAGGGAGAGGTTTGAACTAATGAAGAACCAACAAAAAATACAAGCTTACAAAATGCAGAAATATAAAAGTGAAAGGCCGCTAAAGCGAACGCCATGAACATAATAACTAGGAACTTACATTGTATCGGCGCTGTAGGCCACAAAAAGGCAACTCTAAACCAGATGTTCTCTTAAGACAAGATGTTCTCTCGATGAAATCAACGATGAAACTAAAAAGCTAGAATATTAACAACATGTAAATTATACTGAACCCGGGAAAGAAAGACAAAATATATTTCCAAAGGAACGCTAATGAACTGAAATAAAATGCAGAGAATGCTAAATTCTACACCACTTCTAAATTATACGAAGTATTAAGTTGAATTTAAAGTGAATGACAAAATGCTCGTGGGACAAAACAACAATGGAAACAAAACAATGTCTGCAATAACAAGGAAAGTTTCAAATTACCATTATGATAAAGTTGAAGATTAAGTGTAGGTTGCTCCCATTAAATGTGAATACCTTCTTTGATTTTAAGTGGGAGAGTTGTGAAAGCCTGATCTAAAATGCTGAAAGACTCATCAGAAAGAGTGAGACATTGTTGAGAATTTTGTAATAGTCTGAAAATGTGAGAGGTCCTTCCACTAACCAAGTGCTCACAATTACCACTATCAGTTATTATAGTTCACCACTATATTTTCTCCGATTCTTATTGGTTTAAATCAATCACATGACACCATAGTGTTCATCCATGGAGAGACACTATCAGCCCATAGTGCTCGTCCGTGGAAAATACCCAGATGGATAGTACTCATCTGTGAAAAATTTGAATGGTTTGACTGCCGCGAAGTTGGGCAGATTGGAAAAACAGTGACTTTTCAATATTGATTGATCTGCATTTTGGTGGGTTTTGGCTGTTTTTCAACTGGCACGTGGAAGAAAATTTAGTGGTGAACAATAAAGACAATAGAGTGTTTATGTCTTGGAACTATCGGTCTGATAGTTGCCCCTTGGAAATTTGATGCTCTTAAAACTAGCATATTTGTTTTAAGAACATCAAATTTCCACATGGCAACTATCAGCCGATAGTTCCTAGACAAAAACACTATTGTTTAATGAGAAGAACAAGCTTAAAGGGAATACTTTTTGGTGTCACCTTGGCACCCTTTCATAGTGAATAAAACATACTGAAGAAATCTCGTATCTTAAATTAAAAATGTGAAATATCCCTTTGCAGCGCCCTCTGGCTCTAGGGGCTGATGTTGTCATGCACTCAGTAACAAAGTACATGAATGGTATGAAGCTTTTACGTTACGGGTTTCACTTTGATATTTTCTATTTTAAAATTATGGGCCATTGCTATGTTGTCTGAGTAAGATGACTCTATCTGAGAGGGATACGTCACTTTGACAGTGTTGATCAGCATTGGTACAATGAGGTGTATTGCACAAGTCTTTTAATTCATATTTTGTAAAAAACAGAATGATTATTATATAATTAATTACTGGTATGTTGGACATAAGAAATAATGCAATCTAGGAATGTCTTAAATTATGTAACTGATAGTTAAATTCACAAGAGTCACTGACAATAATTTCCAGGACCTATAAAAAATGTAAATTTTTCTTACATTTGGTGAGGTCTTGAATGTGAATTAACCCCCCAAAACTGGAAGATTCTAATTTTCACAATTATTGTACCTCATGTTCACCATCCCCCTTGCAAAACCTTGCCCAATGTCTCTGTAACCCTTCCCTCCTTCTTTCTGCTCATCCATCTTCTTTTTTTTTCATTTTTGATAAAGAAGAAATTAAAGTACTTTTCAACTCTGGGTAACACTAGCTCAGTGAATACAGCACATGGAACTTAAGACTACAGTGCCAGAAATAGCTTGGTAGAGATCACACCAGCTGACGATAAAACAGTTAATATGTGAAATTTGTGAATACCTCATGCATTTGCTTGATAGAAATGTTATTGACAACTGCAGGTCATTCTGACACTGTAATGGGAGTTATGTGCACAAATGATGATGAAATCTGCAACAAGCTGAGATTCCTTCAGAATGGTAAGTTAATGGAAAAAAATTTGTGATCTGAAAAAGGTTCCCCCAAACCTGAAAGTGTTAGAAAAGTTTGCTAATCAATAAATTTATAAACCTCTTTTAACTTTTAATTATTAGCTATTGGTCCAGTGCCAAGTCCATTTGACTGCTACCTTGCCAATCGTGGTCTTAAAACTCTTCATCTACGAATGCGACAACATGAAATTAATGCTACAGCTGTTGCAAAATTTCTGGAAGGAAACTCCAGGGTGGAGAAAGTTATGTATCCAGGTATGTCAGGAAGGAGAGATTAGGGTGGTAGAAATAATTGAAAAGCATGTACATCAAAGCATTGTGCAAAAGTGATAAGATTTGTAAAACTATTTTAGGTCTAGATTCATATCCACAACATGAACTTGCCAAAAGACAGATGACAGGCTTTGGTGGAATGGTGACTTTTTTCATCAAAGGGAATTTGGAGAACTCCAAAAAGTTTTTTAAATCATCTAAGGTAACTATATCTATTAAATGATTATATAATTTCTATTTCTAAATCATGCTATGTAGGTGCAAGGTTGTGGTTCCTGTGGCATTAAAGAACCTTATTTTTACACTATGACCACTTAATACAGGTTTAGCTGAAAACGTAATATTCTATTTGCAAACACAATGCTTTTCAGAGTACTAATCCCAACAGTATGCAAGGTCTATGTCAATTCTAAACACAGTATATGCTTGAGTGCACTATTCGATTCTCTATATTAACTAACAGTGTTGGTGATAGAGCCTAAAAGGCCATCAGCGTGGCAGAAAAATTGGGTGTGGACCTGCCAAGGAAGGAGTAGAGACCCCAAAATTTTGCTAGTAAGGTGTAAATGATGTCAACATGTTATTTAGGGTGGGTATATATAGACCCATGATTTTAGGGCCATAGACCTCTATGGCCCTAAAACTTTAAGAAACTTGGTCTATACCCCTTCCTTCATTTAAAATGGGTCCATACCCAATTTTTCTGTGGTGTAAATGGCAGGCAAATCCAAAAGACTGGGGTTCAATTCCTCATGAGAGACCCATTTGTCTATTAGGACATGTTATTTTAAGAGTATGAATTTTTTTAGGGTCACTAAATGCCACAAGTCTTTGTTTATCCTTTTCTTTCAGTTATTTACACTTGCTGAGAGTCTTGGTGGTTTTGAAAGCCTTACAGAATTACCGTAAGTTCTGCATGTGCTCAAAACAACAAGCAGGCTGTTAGACCTACTGCCTGAAAAAGTATTGGACTTATATGAATGGACAGACAAATTCATGAAAATCATTTATTTTTTTGTTGGTTTGTTTGTTTGTTTCTTTTATTTTTTAGGGCAATAATGACGCATGCATCAGTTCCTCCAGATCAAAGGGAAGTATTAGGAATATCAGATACACTGGTGAGTATGGTGTCACTCGTGGAAAGCAAGGACAGCAATTGTTATTTTGTTTGAGTGACTCAGAGACTGCTGGCAGTCTCGTTTTCTCTTGGTTCGGACCAAGCTTTGGGTGACATGAGAGTTGCATTAGAAAATGGCAAGTCTGGTCCTAAGGAAATCATTGATAACGTGTTTAGTTTTATCAATTTGGTCTGAGACTGCTGTCAGTCCTGTTTACTCTTGCTCTTAGTGAGAAGAGATTTTCACTAGACAAGGAACAAGTCTGGTCTCCAAGAAAACATTAAGTTGATAACAAGTTCTGTTTTATCAAGAGTCTGAGACCACCAGCCTTCTATTTTTCTCTTGGCTAACTGCCTCCTGGTTAGCTCAATGGATAGAGCGCTGGACTGTTGTGC